GGTACTGACATAAATCTGATCTTTCTATGTCCAGAACTTCTTTCTGGTATGTTCAGTTAACCTTTCCATTCCAGGAATGCTGGACTACAACTCCTACCATTGCTAATCCCCAATACTATAGTACTTGAAGGGCTGTCAAGAAGAGGAGGGCTAGGATCTCTTCTCAGTCATTCAGAGTCAGAAAACCTGCTACATATAATGCAGAGATCTACCATTAGATGCCAGTCCACCTTCCCAATCACCCCTCCCCTGCGCTAATGGATATCAAGTACATGTAATGCTCTGGAGCAACAACTGATATACAATGGGAAGTTAAAAAACATAAAGCAGAGCTTTGCAATCAAGGCAGTTACTCTCTCAAAAGCACTTGACTATCCATCAAGCACAGTACAGGCACAGAAGTTGGTATACAGCCTCACAAGCCAGATGCCCGCTAAGCACAAAGCTCATTCAGATTGAGAACCCTGAGCCCCAGCTGTTTACAGGCTGATTATCAGAAAGACATGCTGGATTGTTTGCACAGCCCCTGCTGATGTTCCCTCCCTGCAATGAACGGCAGCAATTGCCCTTTAGATTGAGAAACTCTAAAATACTGTCATTTCTAATGGAACGAAGGAAGTGCTATTTTGCAGAAAACAAATTTTGAGATTGAAAACAGCTGAATGTCTACATTTATTACTGTTTGCTCTTACAATAATAAATGCCAAATTTGTTTTGTATCCTATTTTTCCAATCCAGGTTGTTTTTTATTATTTTGTTGATGAATTGCAGCTGCAGGCATTTTTATGTTTTTATTCCTCTGCTTGATAAAGTTACCAGCTTTTGCTGTATCAAAGCTTAAAGTCTATGAAATTTGACAGGGTTGTAGTAGCAAAATGACACCTAATTGCCATTGGTGTTTACCTTTACAAATGTCTCTTTAAATGTAAATGCAGCTTTCCCTGCTAAGAAGTCTGTTACCATGGTAATGAAGGCAAAAGCTAAATCTTGTGGGCCTTTTTTTCCCATTAAGGGCAGCCCTTTTGTATAAGAATAGTCTCTTTATTAGAAACTGCTTGAGGGCAAGTTGTAACATACAGTATAACCCCCTGAACTAGAGATTATATTTACATTGCAAAGAAAAGTCCAACAACATAAAACTTTTAAAAAGCTGAGAACTGGATTGCTTCATGGAACTCTCTCCCTAAAGAATGGGGAATGCAGAGTTGTTAGTCTAACAAGTCCCATTCATTTCAGTGGGTCTACTCCAAGCAGGACTCACATGGGATGCAACCTACAGAGCTCCCCTGACTGTATTCATAGAGCAAGCAAATACTGGATAGTTATGTTATCTCTGTAACAATCTAATTACAAGGATACAGGGGTGCAGAAGCAAGACTTGACAAGACTCACAGCAGAATCAGTCTTGTGGCAGCTCTCTCTGGCATGCAGAAATCTCTCAGCAACTCTGCCAGCCAACTCAAGGATGAAAGGGTTCCTTTGCTCCCTGCCTAGCAATACATGGCTATACTCTCCTTCCAGTACCAGAGCCAGGGAGCCTCAGAATACCAGTTGCTAGGCAACTACAATGGGAGTGAGGCTTTGCCTTCCCTTTGGGCCTCTGAGGAAAAGAAGGACTAGAGGGATCTTTGCTCTGATCCACCAGGCCTCTTCCTCATATCCGGACCCGTCAGTACTCCAGTCCCATTGCTGCAAATAACTCCTCCCATCACTCAGCCTTGTGTGAGGTTCTTCCTCACAAATCAAACTGACTTTTCCACTTCTCATAAGAGCAACAGCATTTCTCAGCTGTTTACGCATGTGCTCCAGTCTCCATCCATATATAGGCAGGGGCCAGAGCAAGTCAACACATTGCTTGCAGCCAAAACGCAGTGCTGGAAAAGCTACAACGAGCGCTTCTGGTGCCCGTTAGATCCACTCTAGGGTTTCTTTCTTATAAGCAGGCATTCGAGAATAACGTGGGCTCTGGTTTGCATCATCCCCTTCTGTACATCAAGAGAAGAAACTGGCTAGGGGTTTCAGTATTACAGTCCAATATTTCTTCTTCAAACTGTGTGGTCAGTTTACTGCCCTTTCTCATCGTAAGTAGTGCAGACATGTTAAGATGACATACAGGAACGAAAGCAGCAGGCAATTTGCTGTGTCACTGGGGCAAAAAGTTGTGATTCTCACTAGTGACACCGCAGCTTGCACAAGTATTGCATTTGCAGCCAAAAACCTGTCTGGGTGTTACTAACCCACCCTGCCCTGACTCACTCCTTCACACATGTGCACACACATGCCCCGAAGCATTTGCAATCCAAATTAGCTGGTCACAAGAAGACAAAGAAATATCTGTCTGACAAAGAGACAGAGCCAGTCTCTTGACTCATAGACTAAGGGATGTGTTATCAAAATCATTAAAGTAATTTTCCACAATTTGAATGTACAAAGCATGGGTCACAGGTACCCTTAAGACAGGAAAATTCTTGTTACTAGAAAAATCTGAAAAAGTTACACCAAACTCTCTCAGCAAAATTTTTAAGAAATTCTGATAGCCAAGACATAATAATAGCTGATATGTTGATTCCTCATTTTTTCAGATCACCTAGACAACCAAAACCTCACCATAACTTACGTTACAGAATCAACACTCCAGTACAAAGCCTCCCAAATCACATACTGGATGCTTTCGGGGTATTCTGCTGGCCTTTCAGTTCCTATGCTAGACTTTGAAGAAGGGAGATTTCCAGTAGCAACTGTGGTTATTGTCTTCAGGCTCACAAAATTCATGCTGAATGTACCAGCGTATTGATAAACCAAGATTCCCACGGCTGCCTCCAACATTTTACTGACACACTTGACTTTCCCATCCTCTTCTCTCCCTTTGAGGCCAATACATGCCTTCAACTCTCATCTAGAGGATTCCCCAGCCCTCCAGAACAGAACAGACCTGAAGGTGGGTGGAGAGAGGGATATTTTTTTAATCAGCAGGCAGACACAACTGGATTTCACCCCTGTCGCCATGCTGTAGCCTCATGCGTTCATTCACAACACTTTCTGCTAGTATCAAAAAATAGGTGAGTAAAAAGTTATACTTGAAATAATCAGAAATCTCACACAAAGCCTTTCTTTACAATGGGATAAAGAAAGTATTCCTAGAAAAAAGCCAGACGCATACTTGGTATATAGCACTGTGATCAGAAATGGACAATAGGGGCAGGGAAGGGGAGTGAATGAGGAATTTCACATGTCTTGGAGCCAAGGAAAAAGAGCAAAAGGGTCATTCACCATATGGGTGAGGTACATTCATCTCCATTATCTGTCATACAGATCCGTCCTATTCATTTACTTTAGCAGCCAGTGGTGTCATCTGGTCAGAATTTGGAGGCCACCCCCCAAAATACTAACTTTGCAGAATGATTGGGTGGGTGGGGGGTAAATGCAGAAGGACTAGTTTATCACATATATGCAATAATACACATTACATCTAAAGCCACACCCATCAGACAATTTGAAGTGCATCTAACTTGGGTATGAGAAGGGGCTGAAGGACTACTAGGTCCAAAGTCTATAATAATGGACAGTACTGGATAACTCAGTTGAGCGAAGGCCACAAAGTCTGGAATATCGTGCCAAGTTGTTTCGGGAAGCCACTTGTGAAAGAATCACGAGCATCTGGGATTCATACCGAATCCAAATCAGTTTTTTCCGCCCCTAAATTGCAAAAAACACATCCCTATGGCTTTCCCAGCGTTAAGATCGCCCTACTTTTTTCCTAAGCCCGTTTGACCACAAATGCCACTCCTTCCTAACCCTTTCCGCGCACGTTCAAGCGCAATTTCCTCGGCAAGCAAAGCTGCCCTACATTGATTATGAGGATGACTGTTCCGCTATAAAGAAAAGGGCGAATCCCTCCAGGAACCGCCACCGTTTTAGCCGAAACGGGCCGCCGGGGAGGGGCTCGCCCTGAGCACGCAGGTCAGTGAACGCACAAAGCGCATTGTGCAGAAAAGTCATTTCGCTCCATGTCCCGGATTGTCCCCTTTCCCCAATTCCCTCCCGCGCCCAGGCCTCGTCCCCCTCCCCTATTTTCTGGAAAAATCAGCCCACATGGCTGAGGCCGTGGAAGGAAAGCCTGCAGAAGTCTTGTGCCAAAACTAGGACGATGCTTTGGATCCTTTGCGGATTGATCTCCACATGCCATTTTAAGGGCAGGGACAGAAAGGCGGCAGATCGCTGCAGCCTACAAACCAACAATATTCATAAGAAGGAATAATAACTGCATAGGATCCTACGGGAAGGGATTTAGACTATAAACAGCGACCATAAAGCCAGTAAGGAAAAAGACTACGCCTGCGCATACGCGACTTCTTACATACCCATCCTCTCCTCACCGTCCAAAGGCGAGACGCATGCGCGCTGCAGCGTCCTTTGACGGCCCACGGCGGAGGAATGAGGCAGGGCGAAGGCAACCAATCCGCTCAGGAAGGGGTGTGGCTTGCGCTTATTGTGAGGTTTGAGGTGAGAGGAGGCGGAGCGATCTCGAGGTCGGTGAAGCGGCTGGAGCCGTTCGGGCTTGGCTGGGCGAGGCGTAGCCAGCGCAGCGGGGATCGAAGGCGCGCGGCCGGGGGCCTCGGGGGCAGCGACGGGATAGAGGGGCGCGCCGCCCCGCCGGAGCAGCGCCATGGTGTCGTGCATCATTTCCCGCGTCGTTGTGTAAGTGGAGCAGGGTGGGGGTTGGCAGCACCGCGACCGACCGCCTTGCCCCGGCCGGGCGCCTCCCCCGCCGCTCCCCCTTGAGGGGAGGGGGCGTCGGTTCTTCTCTCGCTCCCCTCCGTGTCGCCGAGGCTTCGGGGTGGGCAAGGGACGCTACTGCGCTTGCGCGTACCGCGCAAACGGGCATCTGGCTCCTTACCTGCTGTGGCCACGCGCGGGGAGACGGAGGTTATTTTCGGTTTTGTTTCTCTCCCAAAGGCCTGGCCTCTTTTCGGCCAGCGTTCTTTTTAAGGGATGGAAAAGACGTTCCCCTCGGCTGATGTCTCCATTCTGGACCGATTCACACGTTATGTGTGCGGGTGTCTAGAATGGCTTTCGGCGTGCACGCAAGAACGTAAATGCGACAAGATCCAGGATCTTACGACCGTGTTGATGGTGGAGTCGCCCCCTTGGACGCGTTTTTTGGACGAGTGCACTTTGGAGTTGCCTCATGGGTGACAAGATCCTAAGGGGCGAGCAATATCTGGGCACAGGGTTGCAAAGAGGCGATGTACTGAAGAGCACCTGAGTTGTCCTGTATGCAGTCCTTAACTACTTGGATATGTTGTTATGCTGCCAGTTCGGCTAATTTACTGACTTAAACGTCCTTTTCTTTAGCTTTAAAGGGTGTATGTATAGGGCTTGGGTCATCACTGAGTGATTAGAATGAGGAAACCTGTGCATGCTATTTCTTGGGCAACATTTTAGCCCTACCTTAAAAAACAGACTGAGTGCAAGTAAGCATTGAACTTGCCTGATGCTGTGCCTGTGGGATGTTGTGTAGCGTAACTTGATTTTTGTAAATATGCCCTGTGAGATATTCCTAGGAGTATAGTGTTTGTATGGAGTCCTAGCTTCATGAAATGTGCTTATTAGCATGATACTGATAGGTATATTAAGGACTTGGGTTTTCATCCTCTGGGTGGTCTTGGATTTCCTGGTGGTTTGCCAATGTGCTTGCTTTCCTACCCAGCAGTGTGCAGGTATTCCTTGGGGAGAGGAATAAGGGATAAGCTCTATGTAAGTTGCTTGAGGTGCTTGGATCTGTTGGGGCTCCATGCACATCATTTAATTCATGCTTTTTGTCTGGGGGATGTGATGAATCTGTTGTTGAAAGATGATTTTTGCCATACAATAAAACTGAGAAGGAGGTAGGGAACTAAAGTTACGCCTGTTATCCATTAGCTGAATATTACAAGAGTTGAAGTATTATAAAAAGTAGATTTTCTGCCTCTTACATGCAAGCTGCTTAGAATTTCACTTTAGTTATTTATAAAACTAGGTGGTGACTGTTCTTTATGAAAGCCAGTGCTTTATTTATTTATATCTATTCTGTTTTTTCTTAAACTGAACTCAGAGCAACTTACATGATTCTCCTCCTCCTGCTCTCCATCCTATCCCCCAGTAACAACTGTGTGAAGTGGGTTGGGCTGAGAGCCTGTGACTTGGCCCAAAGTTGCCTAGTTGGCTCCATGGCCAAGTGGGGACTAGAACCCAGATCACCTGCATCCCAGTTCCTCACTCTTAACCACTACAGCACACTGGCTCTGTAACACTGAGTTAGCAGTTGAGAGTGTTGACTGCAGGCTTGGGAGATCCAGGTTCAGGCCCCTGCTCCACTCACTGAGTAACTTTGGGCCAGGCATTCACTTTCAGCCTAGCCTACCTCACAAGTACTTCACGAGGTGAATGTCATAAAGCTAAACTGAAACTCTGCAAGCCATGTTGGGTTCCACACCAGGCGAAAAAGGTGAGGTATAAGTACAATGCAGTAATAATAATAATAATGGTAAAAATGTCTGGTCCTGTGCATGTGGTTCTGTTTCCAAATGAACCTTGTGGCATTTTCAATATGAACATGATTATCTCTCTGGAATTTATTCCTTAAAAGCAAATGTAATAATAATATTTTTAAAAAATCCCCTGCACACACAGTGGTTTTGCTTTGTAAATACTGAGTCACACTTTTCTGTGTTTTGGTATTAAAAAACCGAAGCTGAAATGTCACATACCAAAGCTTAGGTGGCACATAACAAGCATGAGGCTGTCAGCTGTAAATGACATATGATTGGGTTAGACTTCTGTATCTGCTTATTGCAGAGAAACTTGGTAGTTCAAGCATTTGTCATGTGTGCAGCATTACAATGCTCATTATTTTGGGGGACCCATTTCAAAGGGTAAGTGTGATTTGGCCTTAAGAATTCTGTACTGGAACTGAAAAAAAAAAAAGATGTATGTGATGTGGCAAGGCTTTTTAAGCATCTGTGCCGTGTGAGTAAGCCATTAAATGCTTCGGGCCTGTTTCTTAAAAGCATGTAGTCAAGCAGTAGGCATGTTTGAATTCCTGTATTTATGATGAGGTGGAAACTGTAGAGCTGCCCAGGAGACATTCACCTTATAAATTTTAAGAGCTTCAGCGCAGACAGTTCTACATAAACAGAATTAAATCTTATAAATGCTGAAGGTGGTAGCTACAGATATTAGGGCATTGGCATGCATTAGCAAAGTGTTAGTGAAAGGATCCTTATAAACATGGGTTGCTGCACCTTAGCTTGTCTGTATCAGCAGGGCTTAGACTGGTCAATAGATGACCTAAGAGGTCCCTTCCAATTCAATTCTCTGAAGTCCCAGTCACTTAATGTAAGCATTGTCCTGTTATAATGCAAAATGCTTTTCTGCATATGCCATAACAAATGTATAAACCCACAAGTATTTACCACTGTATCTTACAAGTGGCTGGATTCTTTGTTAATCCCACATGCTAGAAATGGGTGGGTATGGGGAGTACAATGGTGACAGGCAAGTAAATATTCCTATGCAGTATTGTGCAGCAGTAACAGCCACTCTTCCTTTCCTCAGTTTCTTTATAGGCAAAGGTCTCCAACTTTTTCAGGCCCATGGGCTTGTTTGGGATTTTGAGGTATGGGTACCAGAACTAGCTGATCACATAATAGCAAGAAGATAAAATATCTAGTAAATAAATGTGGCTCGTCAAGATGCCTTTAAAACCACCATCAAATTAAGCCTTTCTGTCTGCAGTAACCCCCCTCCAACATGATAAATTTGTTATTTGTCACTGCTGTACAGATGCTCATGGATTTCATGGGGTGCTGAGAAAATATCTTGGCATCAAATCGTGTGTGTGTGTGGGGGGGAGGGGTGTCCCTTGTAAAAATTATGATGATCCATGCCTCAAATCCATGTCATAGCAATGTTACAAAACGATAGACCTTTAACTTTTATGATTCAGTCCATGGGTTAGGAAGGGGTGTGAGAGGAGAACTTCTGTGATTCAATAGAGACTTCGGAGGGTCCTGTGTAAATAGAATGTGAATTCAGGCTAATCTGTTCCAGTTCTCTAGGGTATTAAAGGGAAAAGGGGCAGGCAGCTGGAGTGAAAACAGTAGCTATGTTAGGTTACAGTCAGGGGGCAAGCGTGAGTTGCCAAGGCCCGCTTGCATCAATGAGGAGGGTCGCACCTTCATATGGTGAGGTGAAATTTGGGGCTGGGATAATTCGTGCCAAAGACTGTAGCCTCAGTGAATGCATTGGAGAACAGTGCCTGTCGGGGAATCTGAGATTCAGGCATTTGCAGTGGCAGAGTGTGTGCAAACGAGGTTGATCGGATGAGTAACTCTGCATTAAGGAATGTCCTTCAATAGTCCCTGTAGTTGCATTGCTCTCCAAAGCCCAAAGCAAATGTATTTCCAGGCTACTCTTATATCCTACAGTTTTCCCCAAGGTGATAAAAGTGGTCCTCCCTCTCCTCAGTTTTATGCTCCCAACAAACCTGTGAGGTACGTTAGGCTGAGAGTCAGTAGCTAACTGAATCCAGATTAGAAATCCTTCTGAGAGCTAGTCGGGCATTCTAAGCACTGCACTTCTTTCCCCAACATCTGCATTGGAGGGGAAGCTGGTGCTCCTCTCATCACCTTCACCAGATTGCTGTGGAGCACCTCGGCCAGTGGCAAGCAGAATTGTGATGGCTGCGGAGAGCAATCTCTTAAGCTCTCTTGTGTTGGCATGTTTGCATGCTTGAAGTGACTCTAAAGCACTTACTGTGTGTTATATATGAAGAATGTGCATACAGGTCCATGCTTGCACACCACCACACTGGCTGAACTGCTCTGACTTCTTGAACGGTTGAGTTTGAATTACTTGTTATCTGTGTTGACTGACAGCAGAGTTAGTGATTGGTCAGTTTGCTTGGGCAGATGTGGTGGGCTTATTGACACGGGGTTGTATATTGGTGGTAGGTTGAAAAGCTCTTTGACTGAAGGATGGCAGACAAAGAAAACAAGGGTAAATGATAAGGATGTGTTGCAGTGGCCAGAGCTAGGTTTCTTATGAGGCTGAGTCTCATTGTTGGCTTCTGATCTGTTACTCTTACCTGCCATCAGGTGATCACAGATTTACGGAGACCGTAAATGAGTGTCCTCCAAAATGTCCTTTCTTGACAGCCCTGCCCAATTCTTGTAAAATTAAGGCTGTGGCTTCTTTTATGGAATTGATCCATCTCATGTTCAGTCTGTCTTTTCTTCTGTCTGTGACTTTCCCTAACATTTTTGAGTTCTCCAGTGAGTCTTTTAGTCTGATGTGCCCAAAGCACAACAACAGTTTCTGAACTACTGCATTGAAAACTGGCTATATTTAGGCTGCTGTGAATCATAATCATCAAGTTTATGGCTGGTCAGAATTATATAGTGGCATTAAGACAAACACGAGGCATCCATTTAACCCAGCTGTGTTCGACTTCCATTTTGCACAACCTGCTTATGTCAGGATGTTCCACGTTGCCTCACCAGTGCCAGCTGGTGATGATTAATCATATTTCTAACTTGCCCTTTGTCTAAGGAGCTCAGTGGCTGCCCTTAGCAACCTCTCTTTCTCATTCTCCCAACCGCCCTGTGAGACAGGATAAGCTGAGTGAGTGCAACTGACCCAGGGTCACCTGCGATTTGGTGCGGAACTGAAGCTGGGTCATCTGCTATGCCAGCCTGGGGTTCTGTGAAGCGAGATGGGGGGGGGGTGTCAGCCACCATATTCAGAGGCACTATGCCTCAGTACTAGTTGCTGCTGATGAACAGTGCTAATGCCTTTGTGTTCTGCTTATGTGCTTCCTGAGGGCATCTGGCTAGGCAGCTCTTGGGACACAGTACTAATGCTGAGCTAATATGTTTGTTGTAATTCAGGATGGTTCCTCTTAGGTGCACCTTTGGCAGGAAGTGGGTTTGAGGTAAGGAGGCTGTGAAACTGAGCAGGCCCCTAGAGGTATGATGGTAGGAAGGGAACCATAAATGGAAAGACAGTCTGAAAGGAGAGAGTTTGTTGCTCAAATCTACTTAATGAAAAACGGAAAGCAGCTTTCAAATCAAAATTGAAACACTAAATATTTAAATATATTGCCAGACAATAAATCAAAAGCATGTCTCAGCAGCGGAGCACTCAGTCAAATGGGGAAATTCCAGTTGGGGCCTGAGGGAAAAAAAGCATTGTAACTAACAAATGGAGAAATAATCTCTTCTGCAGTGTTGAGAGGAAACAGATATTTGAGTGCAATGAAGCTGAGGGCTGCTGCAGAACTAGATTTTGGCTTGGCATCTA